TTCGTTGCTACTTCATAACTGTAATGTTGCTACCGTTATGAATCGTAATGTAAATATCTGATATGCAGGATGGTCTTAGGCAACTCCTGTGAAAGGGTTGTTCGACCGCCAAAGGGGTCGCGACCCACAGGTTGAGAACCGCTGACCTATAGGATGCAACAGAAATAACATTCAGGGACTTCCAAGCCTAGATAATAAGCCCAGTAACTTCTTCCTGGGTTTCTTGGAGTATCCTCTGTGGAAGCCCTGAGCCTTCGTGTAGGAAATCCCATTACCCTGAGACTACCTTGGGGAGGGAGCACATGTAGGAGGTCTGGCTGACAGTGCTAGCTGAGACCAGCCTTCCAGCTATCCTTGCCAGGGTGCCAGATATGTGAGTGAATCCTCCAGGCTGGCCCAGCTGCCAGCTGAAGACCACCAAGTGACCTTTGTTGATGCCACATGGAACAGAAGAATTGCCCAGACAAGCCCTGTCCAAATTCAGACCCCCAAAATCATGAGGCATAACAAAACGGTCATTGTTTTAAGTCACTAGGTTTGGGGATAGTTTGTTCGGCAGCCTTAGATAACCAAAACACTTTATAACTGAAATGTCCCGTATTGGAGATCCTCTGCTTTATCGCCTCCAGCGAATGTTTCCAATTTTCCACCCAATTAGGAGAGAGGCAATGGCAGCTGTGCAGTGTGGCAAGGGGATGGAGGAGTCTGAGAGTTTCCTATACAGACTTAGAAAAAAATCCTCCTGGTTTTAGTCTTAACTATACACCCACTTTCAAAAGTACCTGATGCAGCAAATTCCTGCGTATCCTGAGAAATTCTACAATATCATGTTGCTTCTCAGCTTTCCCTACTCCTGGTTTGGATGTCAGTTTTCTCGGGTCTGAGGAAGTCCATTATCACCTGCCACTCTGCTTTCGAGGTTTCTATAATTTTGTTATTTTTTTCCTCTCTTGTTCCCTTGTCCTCGTGAGATTAAAAACAACACAAAACAAAACTGCTCTTTTATTGGATGGATTTCCAGAGGGAGTTGAAGCAAATGTGTGTGTTCATTCTGCTATCTTTAATTTAAAGGCTCCTTTGAGTGTTTCATTTCAACAGCTACATTAATTTTTAAAACACTGTGTCTTCGGTCAGGTTCCTCCAAGTAGAGCCTGAGATAGGGATTCTCCCAGGTAAGTGCCTCCGTGAAGGGATATTCTCAAGAGAAACTGCGAGAAGTAGGATAGTGTACTAGTAGAGGAAGGAGCAGAGCAAAGATAGGGTCTCTGCTGAAATTTAGTCTCAGCCTAAGTCTGTGGGAGCTCTGGAATAGGAAAGGTGCCCCAGGTTTATTCCTGGCCTTTTGTACCCCATAAAAGTTAGCTTCTGGCTGTGGCTTCCCGACCTGGGCTGGGAGAAGTTATGGGGAGAAAGGAGAAGCTGTGAGCTGGGTGCACTGTGAATAGAAAAGGCAGGTAATGACAGCATTTCCCTAATTGTTATTTTTAAAGGGATGTAATAGTCTCTCTGAGGAAATGAATTATCCATATTTTATTCTTTTTCTACTGTTTGTCTTGTTAATTTTGCTTCCTCCTTGGTTCATAAACAGCAGCTCAGAAACTTTAAGTTTGCAGGCAGAGAAAAGGGGCAAAACCAAGTTTAGAATCCACATCCGTCTGATCCTTCAGCTGCATCTGAAATGAAACCACTTAATGTGTCCTCTCCAGCTTGAAGGGTGCTCATAGCCGCTTGGATTTTGGTCTGTTGAATAGTTAACACGCTCCCCCAAAGCTACCTACCCTTGGTTAAAATCGGAATTTGCCTGTAGACTCAACGCATTCATTCTGCAAGCATTCACTCAGCGCTTGCAGAGAAACGGTACTGAGCGCAGGTGCAAAGACGACCTCGACTCAGTGCCTGCCAAAGGCTTGTTGTGTCCAGGCGGGGAGGCGGACACGAACACACTAAACCGTATTACGAGGGGCGAATGCTGCGCCCAGGCGCACCCAGGAGCTGCAGGCCAGTACCAAACCCGGTCATTGAACAGGTGAAGGGGGAAAGATCTGGGGCTGCTGCTAACTCCTGTCTCCAAAGGCTCCCCCCAAGGAAAGGAACTCAGTTTTCCACCAGAGAGAAGTGGAACCACTAGGAACTCTTGCACTGTATATTTTAACGCGCAAGAGGGCCATGATGTGACTTTCCACTTTTCCAGCCACAGGCTCAGCGTGAGCCCCGCAGTGAGAAAGTGCAGTTGACTCGCGGCGTGACTCCCGGCTGCAGCGCAGAGGCCCGCGGGCACCGGAGCCGCGGAGGGTACGGGAGCTCCCACTCTTCAGGGCAGGAGCGGGGCCGGACGGTACCGGGCGGGCTGGGCGATCCGGTGCCGGGAGAGTGGAACCTGCCGATGCCTGGGGAGCAGGCACGTGTCCGGTGCAGACCCCCCCGCCTGGTGACGCCCCCCGCGGTCCCAATCTGGGGTTCCGGTGCGCTTCGCCCCGGACGATTTTCCGGTCTCGTGGGCCGAGGAACAACCAGGAACTCGGGCTCAGTCTCCACCCTGAAGTGGGGCGGGTCCGCACGGAATAAGACCGGCTGCCCAGCCCGACGAGGGTGTGACCTCCGTAGCCACTGAAGACAGGCGAAGCCCCGTCTCGGCGCGATCGGTAAGGGGACCCCGGGCCGGGGTCCTGCGCGCGGGGAAGGGGGCGCGGCGGCCCCTGAGCGCCTCGGGGGACGCCGGGCCTGCGCCGCGCTCGGGAGGGGGTTCCCGTCGCCGGCAAGTGGCGGCCGGCCCGGGCGGCGCTGGGTGGAGCGGGAGGCCCGGCCCGGACTCGCTCCCAGGGGACAAACGCGGCCTTTACCCAGAAGGACCCCCAAAGCAGGTTACACAGCTCTGGACCCCAATTACGCGCCAAGCACTCTGCGGGTTTGGGCATTAAAAACAAAGGACTGAGCTCATATTCCCTGGAGCTGACTCAGTCGAACACCCAAGTTTTACTTTTTAATTCTTTCCTTGAACCTTTTAAGAAACTTCCTCCTACTTTCTTACCTTTTCTCTCCTTGTGTATCTAATGCCCTCAACACAATGCCTGGCACATAGGACTCTGTAACTAATTTTATTATTATTATTGAATCTGTTATTATTATGTTAGATAATAATAATAATTGTTTGATCTGCCAGCGGTTCAGTTTCACTCCTTTGTCGTGGCTTTAGCCAGCTGGATGGAGAGTTGAGGACCAAAGATATTATTGCTTTTCAACTATCTTCCCAACATTTGTGGGAAGAATGGATAGGACCCCCTCCTCTGAATGATCCATCCCATTGTCCATCAATTCTAGAAACCCACCTCCTCCTTCCATTGCAAGTAACTCTATTGATAGCCAAGCCAGGGACTTGTCAGATGGCAGACAGGTGGAAGAGCAAGCAGGAGAGGAAGGGGACAGGATTTAGAAACTGGGTAACCATAGCCACCCAAGGCCGGCTTACTTCCCAAAGCCCTGTCTGGCCAAGGCCAGCTCCCCTACATTCATCGTAGGCCAGATTTGTATTGCTTTGGACACATACATACATACACACATAGACGCAGCATGCACAAACACACAACTACCGAATCAACGGTGTCAATGAATTTCCCTCCTAGGTGTTCTTGCCTTTGTTAGGGATAATTTTTCTCTGAAAGCGATTTCAAGCTCAAGTGGGACCACACCAGCTCTCAGCATCTGAAGACAGCCTCCTGGTCACCCCCAGACTCATGTCTTGTGGCTTGTTTCTTTGCTTATGTCTGGTCACTCGTTTGTTTTCCTCATCTTGCTCATCTGCTTGTAAACTAAGCCTGCTCCTCTCCAAGGGAGATGGAGGTGAATGGCAGGCCCAGGGGATGGTAGACGGCCAGGGATCACCTAAAGTTTCAGAATAAATAAGCGGGGGGGGGGATTTTCCTTGGGTGTCAATTTTACCCAAATTTTTTTTTATACAACCACAGATAAATTTTGGAGTAGAATTCAAAGTGTAGATACCTTTTTAATATAAAACAGGAAACTTCAAAACATTTTTGCACAGGCTTTGGGCTGTGATTTGGCCCAAATCTAGCCCTTGAGGGTTTGCTTCACTGCAATTCGGGCTACTTATGAAGGCAGTTTGATAGGTGCTCCATTGTCTTTCCTGGAGGGACTTTGAATAACAGTTACCCAGGTTACTCATTTTAATCTTTATTATACAGCCTGAGGTGGGGTTATTAACCTGGTTTTATAGATGAGGCTCCCAAGGCTCCACATTATGGTCTTTGGTCAGGGTCAGGCTACTGGAAACAGATTTAGTCTCTGCCCGACTATGGCTCCATCAGCGCTTGGTTCGTAGTGACTTGAGGTTTGGATTTGTGGCTTCCTGGCTTATTAACTAAATCTTGACCAAATATCTTTCTCTTCCTCTTTAACTTTCCTTTTGTCAACCATATCTTAAAATACGGTTAAAAGAACTAGAGCTGTTTCCACTAGAGTGGGTAGACTGAGGTGGGTGTGGGGACACATGCTTGAGGGGCTTGGCAGGTAGGAAATCAGCTCACTCTGTGTGGAGCAGAGCTGGGTAGGAGTTTTTTGGGGGCGGTAGCTTCTGGTTAAATTTAAGGAAGTGACTTTTGAAACCCGTAGGCTGGGTGGGCTTGGAGTTGGTGAGCACTCTCTCACCAGAGGTATCTAGGCAGAGGTATTCACAGGCTGTGAATTCTCCATTTCTGATGGAGCTGTGAAGGGTAGAAGGCTAACCTAAGACGACTTCTAAAGCCATGGTTTCCAAGCTGCAGGTACATCCCCCAGGAAGCTTGCACAACATGCAGATTTTTGTCGCTCTCCTAAAAATTCATATCTAGTAGGACGGGGTAGGACCCAGAAATCTGCCTATTTAAGAGGCTCTCTGGATGATTGTAATTCAGGTGTTTCTTGGACCTTGCTTTGATAAACTAAGTTTTAGAAGCATGCTTCTAACCATTTTATGAATATGTGCATGTTTGATAAATACAGTATTAATGAAACCATAGGCCTGTTATTATGCTATGAACTCTAAGTAATGTGGTAAATGCTGAAATTGGCCCCATTCTCAATGAGCAATAATCACACCTCAGATAAACCTCATTGGCTATGATATTGCCATTGCTCAAGGCTGAAATTGTCCCCATTCTCGCTTTTTATTATACTTCTTTATTATACCTATCACATCAAATTCACCCCTTAGTTTTACAGTGCTTAACACCTCTAGACCAATATAGATTTCCAACAAGGTTTTTTGCTTATTTTATTTTATTTATTTTTTAAAATATATTTTATTGATTTTTTACAGAGAGGAAGGGAGAGGGATAGAGAGTTAGAAATATTGATGGGAGAGAAACATGGATCAGCTGCCTCCTGCACACCTCCTACTGGGGATGTGCCTGCAACCAAGGTACATGCCCTTGACCAGAATCGAACCTGGGACCTTTCAGTCCGCAGGCCGATGCTCTATCCACTGAGCCAAACCAGGTAGGGCTTTTTTGCTTATTTTAAAATAAACAAAGTTGAAACTGAGATGGGTTACTATATTAAGACTAATTTCCCTAAGATAAATAGGGCTAGGGATATAATGTACAATGTGATAAAGATTGTTAACACTGCTCTATGATATATAAGAAAGATGTTAAGAGAGTAAATCCTGAGTTCTCTTCATGTGGAGAAAAGTATTTCTTCTCTTCTTTTTATTATATCTGAGATGATGGGTATTGGCAGAACCTACTGTGGTAATCATTTCACAGTATATCCAAATCAAACAAATAAAAATAAAGTTTAATTTCCCAAGGAATTTAGGATTTCTATTAAGGCCTCTTGTTGGTTTTATGGGAGTAAGTTGTTGGTGTCCAGTTGTGTTTGAACGAGACTGAAAGTGTTTGCTATGGAAACCTGAACCACCACTTCTGAAGAATTCTTTTGAAAGGTTCAAGATGTCTGAGGTCAGGAAATTGCCATATCACTTGTTGGTCTGGACTGCTAGACATGAATACCACAATGAATCTTTTATCTATAATCACCAGCAGACATAAATTGCAGCTAAATGCCAGAACGTAAATTACTCTGGAAAAGACCTTTAACTTTCTTCCTCAACACCATTAACCCTTTAAGGCCTAGACATAAGGCAGCATGACTAGCCTGACTTGTCACGGAGCAGGGGTCCCCATGAATGGCCAAAGAATCACTATGGATTCGAAACTCTGGTTTAGGGCACTCACCTTTCCACTTCCAGGAGGTAATAGTAAGTTACTAGCAGAAAGTAATGTAGAGGGGCCCTGTGGTGAGTGGGAGCAAGGTTCCTCACTTACGTGTAATTGAGCCATCTTCCCTGGAGGAGGTCCATTAGAGGTTCAAGCCCAGTGGTAATAATCAGCCTCAAGCATCCCCCCCCTCACTCCTCCAGGGAGCTCAGGAAAGCATTCCCTGGGCCCTGCTTAGCTTCAACTTCTGCTCCAGTTGCTTTTTGATGCTGTACAAGGACTTGTTGACTCACTGGTTCTTATCCTTGTTAGAGTCACAGACCCCTTTGAGAATCCGATTAAAGCCATGAATACTGTCTCGAGAAAAACACACATTTGACATTTTTCATACAGTTTCAAGGGGTTTACAGACACCCTTCTAAACCCAGTCACAGACACCTAGCAGGTATATAGACAGTAAGTTAAGAATTGCCCTGGATTGCCCAGTCTGTGGGCTGCAATATTGATGGCTGCCACCCTCATGACATCATAGATGACATCAACAAATCAACAGTAGTGCAGTGGAATGCCCAGCTAGTTAAGAACTACGAAGGAGCCCTGGCTAGTGTTTCTCAGTGGTTAGAACACCAGCCCACGCATCAAAGGGTTGTGAGTTCAATTCCCAACCAAGGGCACATACCTGGGTTGCAGGTTCAATCCCCTGCTCCGGTCAGGGCACATGCAGGAGGCAACCAAGCAATGTGTCTCACATTGATGTTTCTCTCTCTCTCTCTCTCCCCCCACCTCTCTCCCTCCCTCCCTTCAATTCTCTCAAAAACCAATGGAAAAAAATATCCTTGGGTGAGGATTAACAACAACAACAACACAGCAACAACAACATCAAAACATCAACAAAAAGAACTACAAAGGAGGATATTTCAATTAAAGATCATTTGATATGGGTGTTTTGGCTAAGATCATTTGATAACCAAAAAAAAAAAGCCCTGAAATTGGGCAATGTTTGTAAAAAAAAAAAATGCATTTACCTTTGTTCCAGCAATTTGAATTCTAGGAATTTATTCCAAAGATGTACTTGGGCATGTGTGTAGAGACATGTGTACAAGGGTATATGCATTGCAGCCTCTTTTGTAGCAATAAAAGGTTATCAATGGCCTAAAGGTCTATCAGTAAGAGACTGATTAAATTATGGGCTATCCATGCAAAGCAACATTATGCAGCTTTTAAAAAGTAATAAGATTGCCCTGGCTGGGTGGCTCAGATGGTTGGAGTGTTGTCCCGTACACCAAAGGGCTGTGGGTTTGATTCCTGGTCAGGGCACATAAGGAGATTGTGGGTTCAATCCTCGGTCAGGGCACATACAGGCGATAACCAATTGATGTTTTTCTTTCACATGGATATTTCTTTCTCTCTCCCTCTCTCTCTCTTAAAAAACATATCCTTGGGTGAGGCTTTAAAAAAAAGTAACGCAGATTGGTAGAAATAGATATAAGATGATATCAAAGATACTTTTTTTCTTAAAAAAGCAAAATATAGGTTTTCATGGTAAGCTACCATTTCTGTTGATAAGAATGACAGAGGCCATCTATATTCTTATATACTTGTTAATACATTAACTACTTCTGAAAGAATACACAGGAAAAGAGTTACCAATATCACCTGCCCATTTTAACATTGTAAAGAAGAAGAATGAAACAGAGATGAAGAATGTATAATTATCAAATTTTCCACCTTCAGAATTAATGTATGATCATATACGTTCTCATTTGAATACAAAGAGCCAACATGCAATTATGCTTCAGCATCCACTCAACTACTACACTACACACTCCATCTGCCTTAAGTTAATTTCAGTTCCTCTCATCTCCTAACTTATCTCATGTCAGACCTAGTGTTTTGGTTTTGTCCTGAGTTTCTTCCTTTGTCTTCCCATACCTTCATGAGGTTTTAAAAAATATATATTTTTATTTATTTTTAAAAGAGAGTAAGAGAGAGGGAGAGAGAGATAGAAACATCGATCGGCAGCCTTCTGCACACTCCCACCAGAGACAGAGCCCGCAACCTGGGCATGTGCCCAGACAGGGAATCGAACTGTTGCCCTCTTGGTACAAGGAAGGATGCTCAATCCAATGAGTCACACTGGCCAGGCCTTCATGAGGTTTTTAATGAGAATTCGGGAGAGGCGGCATCAGAAATAGCAAGTTCCTTATGTGAATCAGAAATCCCCTGTGGGAGATTTTTAACAGTTGTGTTTTTGTATTCTTCTGCCAGGGTCAACTTGGATTCTGGAAAGATTTGGAACTAGAACCTTGCCCTGGCCCACTGAAGGAGTGGCTGAACCAGGGCCGGGGGAGTTGCCCACAAAGCTAGAAGATTTGTAGGGCCTAGGAGGCATCAGAGTAAAATGGAACATTTGAGAGTAGTGTTTATTCTTAGCTCACTCCCAGATCTCTAAGGCTGCCCTGGCCCACTGAAGGAAAATCTATGAAGGAAAATTCAGCTGCTTTTCCTATCCACCTGGGCAGTGTTTGCATCCCTCGGGGGCAAACAGAAATGGTGTTGTAGGGAAATGACTAGACTGCATAATACCTGTTTTCTTATCTACAGGCAAATAAGACCTAGCAGGACAACAGGAAGCCTGGCTGCATGGCTGCCTTTCTCACGGACTCACTGCAAATCCCTTCCCTCCTGCACAGTATCTCCCCTTATACACGGGGGATACGTTCCAAGAACCCCAGTGATGCTTAAAACTGCAGATGGTACTGAATCTGATGTACACCGGGTTTTCCCATACAGGCATACCTATAATAAGGTTTCATTTGTAAATTAGACACAGTAAGAGATTAATAGCAATGACTAATAATAAAATAGATCAATTATAACAACATACTGTAATAAAGTCAATTGTAACATACTGAATGTGCTCTCTCTGTCTCTGATAACCAAGATAGCAACTAAGTGACTAATAGGCAGGTAGTGTATCCAGCATGGATGTTGCTGGACATAGGGGCGAGTCCCATCGTGGGTGGAACAGAATGGGACAGTGCGAGATTTCACCCTGCTACTCAGAACAGCACGAAATTTAAAACCTATTAATTGTTTATTTCTGGAATTTTCCATTCAGTGTTTTTGGACTGTGGTTGACCATGGGTAATTGAAACCACAGAAAGTGAAACCGCGGATAAGGGAAGACGACTATACTTTAGTTTTCTGTTTGGGTCTAGTCTGTCTCTCCCCTTTCTGCATCACAAGGATTTTGTAAAGAAAGATGCAGTGGATTTTAGTTTCTTTGGGAAAGACGATAAGAGAAAAGACCAGATGTTAAATTCAAGGTTCTTTTTTTTCTGATGAGAAAATTATTTGAATACAAAGAGCCAACATGTAGTGATGCTTCAGCATCTATTCTACCACCCTGGTATCTACCTCAACACCTCTTGGCTGGTTTGGGGGTGACTAGGGTCACTAATAGGCCCACCTCACAGTTCCTTAACTCAGGTGCTCCATCGAAGGCACTCCTCTTGTTTTATCCCTAAGGCTTCCGGTTGCTGAGACAAGAGAAGCTATCAACCTTGGGATTTGAGCCTCAGGATAAGGTAGCCTGTAGTTTGTGACTCATAGGGACAGGCCAGAGGTGACGCAAGTGCAGTTGGACCTATGAGAGTTCCTGGTCATAGAACAGACGAGAACTGGAGATCAATGCCAGTAGCTTATGATCAACTGGGTTCCCTCCATTAAATTCTGACTTGCCTAGAGTAATTTACTTATGGTATTTCTGAAGAAGGAACATGGAATTTAAGTGACCCTTGATTCTAAAATAACTCTGGAAGTGAATCAGGAAACAAGATGAAAGCCTAACTATGCTGGACAATTTTTTTTCTTTGAATAATTGTTATACCTGAGGACATATGATTTTACCCAGGATGCTGT